GTGTAATATATATATATATAATTATTATCGTTTATTCATCAGATTATTCTGATACATCTACATTGCAAAAAAATAAACATATGGAATCATATTCATGTATGTGGGTTTGGACAAATAGGGTCTTAGGAGGCGACTTAATTTGGGGAGCGGCCGAGTGGGGTCCCAAGTGAAGGATGGAGGGGGCATGTGAGGTGTTGCCCTGGGGCCCTTACTGGCTCTCGACGCCACTGGCCGCAATACTACATGCACAAAAGAGAAAAGGAAAACCTCTTGGTTTTTTAATGTACTGTATATGCAAAAAGACTAAAATAAGGACTTGTTTTTCATGGTTCGAATACGTCACAAGCTATTAGTAGATAATAAATCATTATTTTTATTATGAATGTTAGTTTGCATGAAATACGGTATATAAGCTAGCATAATTATGATTACCAAAATAATTTGAAAACATTTTTTATTATGATGAGTATTTCAGTCGTAGATTTATGGGGCCCAGCTGGCCCACCTCCCTAATTTATTTTTTTGCAAATGATTCAAAAGTGGAAAAAAATGAAAATTTATATTCCAATTTAGTCTAAAAGTGCCATTTCCGGCGAAGAGGTGCCATATTCATAATTTGTTTTACCTCAGCCCCACCTACAGTGGGGCTGTGGTCGAAAATTCCAGAGGACAAGTTCATAGGTTTATACAAAAACAAGCATCGAACAAACTATCAAAACAATTACCAAAACAAGTGTACGGCCGCTAGCTAAGTGTCAAAAGGCCGTGTTGCAACGGCTCCGTGTTAAAATGGAAATCGGAGATTTACATAGCGTAGTTTCGCGTCTTGAAAGTAGCTTGGAATTTAGCTAGTCCTACTATACGCAAGAGCTGTTTTCCTAGTTTCTGCGTATAAGCAAATAAATGCTCAATAATCAAGATTCAAAAAGTGACTTTTATTGGTTTATATAATGCCTATATATGCAGAAATGTGTTATTCCATGACCGGATTTTCTACGCCCCACCCAAATAGGCCTATGCTTAAACCTACTCATAAATAAGAGTTTATGCATAACAATAATAAAAATGATGATGATAACGATTATAATGAAAATGATGGCGATCGAATACGACGATTGTAATGAAAATGATGCCGAAGACGACCATTTTGATAAACGATTATGATAATTAGATGAAGAGTAAAAAATTGATGTAGACGATGATGACGACAAAAAATGATGATGACGCTGACAATAACGCTGGCGATGACGACGATGATGATTAAAAAAAATAGCCCGAATTTTATTAAGAAAAAAAAAATAAACTTACTTTTTTCAGCTTTGCACATTATTGAATAATACGTAAGCAGCGAAATAATAAGCAAGATCCACTTCAACATATCCATAATGACGTTTGTATTTTCAAATTCAAACGTATCTTGTTCTAATAAACATACAGTTTATCTTATATACTTTTTATACACAGAATCGGAAACTACGTTGACGATCTAATAATTAGTTAGAAATGTTAGAATTGTGCCATGAAGCATTAGCAAAGTGAAATACCATCTCGAAGCTGTTTCAGCTTTAGTCTTAACATTTGTTTGAAGATGAAATCTAGGAGGCTTATTAGGCCTACTTTATAAGTGTGAAGCTGTTTTCAATGAAAGTGTTGCATAATTAAAATGTAATATAATAAGCTTACGACATGGAATATCGTACTACTAAAACGACGAAAACTAAACAAATTAAACAACAGAATGACAAAAACTGCATATTTGAGTAGGCCTTTATCAATCATTGATTAATAGGTCCGGATGATTGAATCGATTAAAATATGAATACAACTCTCGATTATGCTATTGGGTGCTATTATTATGCAATTCACCATTGATCACAGAGTCACATCTGAATAAAATCTGTCTCTTATACACATCTAGATGTGTATAAGAGACAGGGAGAGAAGATTAAAACACCGCACCTCAGCAGCTGTAACTGTGTTGCTTGCGAAAATAAGAGAATGTTTGATTCACTGAAACATTCGAAATCACGAATTAACACGTATAAGGCTCTAACCAGTCCTGCTTATATCTCGTTAACCAGCTCGGACCCAATACTTACAGCATTTGACCTATGCAGGGAGCTTGATATTCTCGCCTCCAAAGAAAAGGAATTTAAGGTGCTTGACCCTAAACTTAAACTTTAGTGTCGCTATCTATCTTAATGAACTATCCAAATCGACCCGGATTCAAGTGATAAAGGATAGGCCCTAGGTATGCTAATCCAACCTGAGCCTAGGCCCCTACGTCTAGGCCTACCTCTCATCGCATCATAGGCCCCTGTGACTAGATATTTATATTTATTATTTATTTATTTATTGACATAATCTTTATTTTATCTGTATCTTCTATAGTTGTATAGCCGTGTTAGTCTGAACAATAATTGTAATAATACGGATGACAGCACTCTGCGACTACATCGATTTATATTTGTGTTTATCCATCGATTCATATATTATCATAAATTTGCCGATTCCATGAAATCTTCGTCCATCAATATTATGTATTATTATTATGTAATATTATTGTATTATTATGTTCCTTTATCGAATTATTCATATATTCATCTATTGATACAATATGTTCACAATGCCCTGTCACACTGTAGTAGTAGGCCTACAAGAAAATTAGCGTAAAATTTAGTGAAAGGTTGAACAAATTGCAACAGAATTTATTTTACTACAGTGCATTTCTATAAGGTCCCTATTTGAACATATTAAAAGTTTAGAAAAATCCAGGTATGGGAAATATGCGGAAATGCGTTTTATGTTTTCATGGTCAAGAAATACTATCATACAATTTTCGACTCCGTCAGATTGTCATAAATAGGTCATTTAGGGTCATTTAAGGTCATTCAAGGTCATTATAGGTAAAATATTGTATGGTATTATAATAACGGAGGCCTAAGTGTCGTGTTTTACATCAGAAACATATTCAACCTTACTTAGTTTTTTGATAGGAACTACAGTATTTTATTCAAGGTCATTCTGGCGGCCATCTTGGATTTCAAGATGGCTGCCATGAATAACATACCGGTATAATTTTTTAATATTTTAGCTTGTAAAACATTTCAAGTTTGAATCCTGATGCCTAAAATTATGTTTTCATGATCAAAGATTTACACAATTTGTGAAATGTTAGGATAGATATTATAGTCATAAATAGGTCAATTAGGGTCAATCAAGGTCATTTTATGTTTAATACTTTGTGATATCCTATCGTCAGCAGTCATGTTTTAATGTAAATACTTAAGCTCACAGAATTCGATTATTGTGATAAGAATTTATTATGGAATCCATTTTAAGATCATTCGATTTCATTAGGTCAAGGTCATTTAACAGCCATCTTGAATTTCTAGATAACCACCATGTGAAGCCTATATAAATGTTAAGAATTTTTATGTTGAATGTGTACTGTACATAGTAAACAATACCATTGTATCATTTCTGACATGGTCAGGAGATTATAAATCATAAATAGGTCATTTAAGTTCATTCAATTATGTATAAGGGCAAAAATATTGCATTCTTTCCTTGGCTTTGTTGCTTGCTGAATTAAACCCAACCACCGTAAGCACAACATTGTTATATAGGAAAATATTTTTAAAAATTATCTTATATACTAGCTAAAAAGCAATTAAAACAGCTCCTTCTACAATATATATATATATGTATATATATATATATATATGTTTATATATTTTTTTGTATATGTACAGTATTTAATTTTATTGGCAATATATATATATATATATATATATATATATATATATATAGGCCTGTGTATATATATAGCATATTATGATTTAGATTATATTAAATATATAATATATATACTGTATATAATGCTATGTAATAGAAATTTACCATTTACCTATTCGCTATACTGTAATACTACTCCACAAACTCATTAGGACTAGCTATTTTAAGTTACTGCGCGGTACATTGATTTTATATATCATTCGAGATCCAGCAAGCTGCAAATAATGCAAAGAAGAGAATATATCTTATAGATCTCTGGCAGTATACTCACGTGCAATATTAGTGCTATATCAAAAGAAGGTCTAACCTCAGCCCCACTATGGCTAAATATTTATATCCAATTGATATTACAAAATTAGTCTAATTAATTTTTATGATGATGATATAAAATGACCTTGAATGACCTTAACTGACCTATATATTATCCTAATGACCATCTATATATTTATATATAGATGGTCATATGTATATTTTCTTGACCACAAAAACATAGTGTTTAATATCAGAATTCTAATTTGAAGTGATTTTAAAAGCTAAGATATTATTAAATATAGTTTTTGCACGGCAGCCATTTTGAAATTAAAGATGGCTCCAAAAATGACCCTGAATTAAGTACTGCACGTTGTTTCTAGTAAAAATTAATTTCAAGAGCTTCAGTATGATTTAGATGTAAAATATGTTAGGTAATTATTAAGATGCCATACAATATTTGACCAGCAATGACCTGGAATAACCTTGAATGACCTTAAATTAATTACCTAAATGAAGAATTTGGTAAGATTATTTCTTTAATGACCTTAAATTATAATTACCTTAAATGAGAATCTTACCAGGTAAAAAATGGCACGCTAGTATTCCTTAGCCATTTAGACACTATAATAATAATTCCAAGTTAGAAGAGGAGATAATACCGTGGAT